TTGCATTGCATTGCATTGCATTGCATTGCATTGCATTGCATTGCATTCCATTCCATTCCATTCCATGTTGCTTGTGGCCTACGGAGCTGAAAATGTTGCCCAGCCTTCCTACAAAGTCTTGAGGCTTATCCATGAATTTAAACATTCTATTTCTCATCTGCACATTTATTGGCTGTTCAGGAATCTAAAACAAGAGGGTCACATTATTGTAATAAACAGATAAATACAGCAACCGACTGGAATAGAGGTGTACTTTCCAGATCAGCAGGTAATTCTCCTCACAATAACCCAACTATGTGGTCAGCTGATAGCTTTGAAGTACAATTTTCAGCATTCTCAGCCATTACCAATTATATGAGATGGCTATATTTATAGTAACATCAGGGGAGCCAAATGTGGTAACCTTTGCTCCAAGCTCAACCCTGTCTGCTACAGCAACTTCTCCTCCATAATATGCTCTCATGAGCCTCTTTAACTTTCAGACTAGGATGGCTTGATTAATAGTATAACAAATGAGGGGAATGAGGGGAATAACTGGATTTTAGGATGGTTTTTTTTTCCAATGAAAGGAATAATCAAATACTGTATAACTCTAGCAATTATAATATAGTACCCTTCTTGACTCTCAAAGTTTTCCTCCATAGAGTGGAGAATATCCCATCTGTCCAGTCATTGGTTGCAACATCAAGGCGTCCAAACATCTGAGGTGCAGTGATGGCCTTTGGATTCATTCTCATTTCACGGTGGGGTTGGCCACAATCTGTACATGCCAAAGGGAAGATCCATTTGAAACCATTGCTACACTAGTATAGCATTCGATCAATAGGCAGATTTTAGTCTTTGAAGTTGATAATGTAAAAACATTCTGTGGGGCTGCAATGTTAAAGTTATTCATGGTATATTGCAGCCTTCACTTAACTGAATATTGTTCGATTATTTTCAACCATGTTAATTAAGGAGGGGGAAATGCAAACTGAAAATAAAGGAATCCTCAAAGTTTTAACTTGTTGATTTTTTTTCTTCAATCTTAGATTTCCAGGTGGTATTAGATTGCCATTTACATTTACTTTCATCAATATAAATGCCATGCATTATAGGGACTTTAGTCCAATAATATCTAAGATAACATTGTTTTAGCTTTGTTCTTTAAATACAAGAATCACATTGGGTGATCAACATGAGAAATGATTTGTGCTTTGCAACTCGTTTTACATGGAGATTCTTGAAGTTAACAAAGCATGTTAAATAAGCATATACATTTACCCACATTTGCATGACTTTTATGAACATATACATTTCTGGGTTGATCATTGTTAAAAGAAGCATGAAATTCAGGGGTGGGCTGCTGGGAGTTCTCAGGGGTTCAGGAGAGACCCTAGCTAAGATTCTGTGCAGTTCGGAGAACCCCCAAATCCTTCTCCTGGCTGGCCCCGCCCATCCCGCCCCTCCTAGGAGTCCCCACACAGCCCATTTTGGATGCGGGTAAGTACGTGGAGGCTCGGGGAGGGTGAAAAATGGGCCTCCCGGAAGTTTGGATCTGTTTCCGGCTTCCAGACAGCCTCCAGAGCCCGGGGAGGCCATTTTCGCCCTCCCGGAGGCTCGAGGAAAGCCTCCGAAGCCTGAGGAGGGAAAAAACGCCCCCTCCAGCCCCTGGTGCAGGAGACCAACTAGGCCACGCCCACCATGGCCATGCCCACCCAGCAACTGGGCAGAGAGAACCCTTTGCTAAAAATTTTGAAGCCAACCCCTGATGAAACTGCTTTAGGCACTGTACACATGTGGGTATTCACCACAGCTAATCTCTTCTTTGTTCATTTTAAGCAGGGAGACTCACTGTCCCCTCCTCACCATAATATTACCTCTAGGAAATTTCACTGCAATTAAATTGGTTTTTGTAAAAAAAAATATCTTTAGATCTACATTTACAGATTTTGTGCAGCGAAGACCCATTAGGTGGTAGTTATTACCAATTAACACTGGCTAGCTCTTTAGATTTGAAGGGAATAATATGTTTGAAGCATGTGGGGTATTCCTGCTGCATCTGCTGGCAACTGATTAAAGCAGTTTTGTCATTTCCTGGGATTGGATGGTGAATTCCCTGCAGCTATAATGCAATTTCAGGAAAAGGCACATTTGGTTTAAGAAGTTAGCAAAAGGTGCTGCACATGCTCCGAAGTATCCTTATCCCTTTTAATCCGAAACACTGCATAACCCTTCTACAAGTAAATACCTTAAAAATCTATTATCTCACTTAGGTAGCACAGGATTGCAGGCTTTGAAGTCAGATGCTCAGCTAGCACACAAAACTGTTAGCTGAACCCTTTGGCACTATGAAGTCAGCAATGACGTCACTACAATCTACAGGGAAATACAAAGCTTTCTAACATCAATGGTCTATTTTTCTCCATGGCTGGCATGTTTTAAGAGAAGAAGGAGAGGGTTAGAAGCTAGGGAGGGAAGCTGTTTCAAGAAATAACTGAAGAGGGAAAGATTTAAATTGTTGCTAAAATAGTATTAAATAAAAAGCCTATCTGTTCCGATATATGACAGTTCAGGGAAGAGAAAAAAGAAATCTTCCTTTGCTTTAGCAGTCATTTGCTAAACAGACAAATGGCCTTTCTTTTTGTCATCAATTTTTCATTAAGTGTTTCTCACTTTGAAATCTCAGCTGACTGCTGAACTCAGCATGTGCAAAACCCAGTATTACTCATAATATTCCTCTTTCAGCATCAGATTTCCAGTGCACCATGAACTACTTACTCTTCCAGATTTACTTCCAGAAAATTATGAATCATCCCCAGGATGGTTGGCTAAAAGCATTCTGGGAGAAAATGGCCCTACCTTTGGGTGTTGCATTTTGTATATTCCTATGCCTTGATCATACTTTTACATTTAAAAAAAAACTTTGGAATTATTACTCAAATAATTTTCTTTAATCCTGTCTTTATAACTGCCAATTAGCAATTCAATGCATATAAAATAAGTGCAAGTTCTTTCAGAAATTACCTCTGGGTGACCAAGACATATGAACCCAGTTTAAATGTAGCTTATTTGATTAGACCAAAGATACAGATAGCAAAGCCACTTGTGGAAGACAGCCATTATTGCTAATTTTCCATCCTCCATGGCATCGTGCTAATGAAATAGCTTTGCAATGAAACTCACTTCATGGCCAGGCTTACCTCACACTATCACTCAGCAGTAATTTGTATAGCTTTTTCCTCTTCTGTGAACATAACTATGCTCACTGTCTGTGGCCCATAACAATAATTTAGACAATTTAGTTTTGTGGCATATTCTAGCATTACCAGAGCCCTGGAGACAGAAGTCATTGAAAAATGTGGTGTAGCTAAAACAAACTGTAGAGTAGAAAAATGTCTACCAAGAGATTACATAAGGTGCAGTTTATTGTGATGTGTGAACAAGCAACACACATATATATTCTCTGTTTATACTTTTTAGGAATAGTGATCTGCTTAAATTCTGCTGTTGCTGTGTAACCGGGTTCTCAAACAATTTCAAGAACATCACAATGGCTAAAAACAAAGAATGCTAATATTTTCAGAAATAATCACATAACCATTTGGGTAAAACTATACTTTTTTTTTTTACTATGTAGTCCTTAAAAAGCTTCCTCTGACTACTAATTTATTTTACCAAAATGCAGAAAAGATTTTTTTTACTTATCCCAGGGTCAGTTTTCCAGACCTGTCATGGATTTCATCAGTGTGTGGATGCATGTTGTTTTTCCTGCTCCACTGGGACCTAGAGCCATCATGCCATGTCTTACTCGCTGAGTTTCAAAAAGCTGGATAATTTTCAGTCTCCAAGGTGGGTGATTAATTAAGCCAGCCTCTTCAACCTGTCAAAAATTACAGCATTAATTATTTTATTTACATAGAATCCGTGCTTGGACTTTTCCCTTGCTTTATTATAAGATTTCTCAACTTGGCAATTTCCAGGCATTGTGACCAACTCCCAGAATTCCACAGCCAGTGCAAGCCATTGTAGAGAATCCTGGGAATTGAAGCCCGATCCTCTTTAATTGGCCAAGGTTGGGATACACTGCTATATCAGACTATGAAGAAGCTCCTGCTCACATGAATAGAAATTTCTTCCAGATCTTCCCTTTGAACACATCTGCATTAGGAGGTATGCAGAGAGGACAGGTTTAGGTGAATATGTTGACATTGGGGCTAAAGTGATGTAATTTGTTCAATAGGACTAATATGTTGACCAGTTAAAAATAAAACATCTCTCCATTTATGCCACTAGGGAAAAATATTGGGTGTAAAACTGTACCTTTTACTATTACTTGGACTAATTTTAACATACTGTATAATAAAAGAAGTTTCCTCTCCTGTGCTGTCTACAGCCAATTCATTTTAGATATTCCTGCTAGGACATTTTTACATCTAGACAATTCTACTGATACATATCTACTATCCTATGAATTTCTGCCAAAATGAATTGTCTCTTAGCTCATGGAATTCAAGGTAGGACTGTGCCTTTAATTACAAATCACGTCTTCATCACAAAACAAGATAGATATGCTAAGGGAAAACAAACAAAATTACCAATATGAGATGTTTTTAGAAATATATATATATAAATGTTTATAAACAGTACCTGTTTGCTGATTGCAGCTTCTAGCTCTGGATAACCTGCCTTGTCAAGTTGTATACTTGGGAAAAGATCTTCTATCAAACTCAAAAATAAGGGTTCATCTTCATCTATCTAGCAATAAAAAGTAATAGGAAAATTAGTGCTTTCTATCGTGTAATACTTAATGCAAGTACCTATTATCAAATTCACAATTTTATACTATACAGAAAAACCACACTTCCCTCATCTAAATATATTTCTACTGCATTGCTGGTAAGAATGATGCACATTTTACACATCTGGGACAGAGAAAGGACAGAGCAAATAAAACTGAAACGTTATCAAGGTAGGAATTGTTAAAAACAAACTAAAAATGATAGAATTTACAAGGGCCCAGAACTTAATGAAAAAATTATAACATCTGAAAAAATGTTTTAAGAAAGAGTGCAAAATGAAAGGCAATTGGTTCAGACCCATCATCTTTCAGTGAGGCAGGTATGCTGTGTATGAAAAATTATGTTTCAGAAACTATTTGGAAGGAAAGGAAGGAGAAATAACACCTGACAAACAAGGTGGTTTATTGAAAGTTAGGGTAAGAAAACACTAAATAATGCCAAAAGAAGGAACTTTAACACAACCGGGGAACCAGAAAAAAGGCTAGCTCTCCATCAAAACAAGGATTTAAATTACAGCGTTTGGAGCAACAGAAGATAGGCAGTAATTTGCTGTATGTTACATTCCCAGCACAATGACAAAGGAATTGTCTTGAAAAGAAAATGTGTAGCCTATTCTAACTGATTTCTCCACTCAATCCTCAAAATATGAAAAATTGGTCATTCCTTCAGTCATCCATTTGGAAGTTTGGTACACAGTATTGTTCTGCACAAAAATAAGCACAAAGCCAATGTATTTGGCAGGCTATTAAAACGATGGTGAAATGCAGCAGCAAAATAAATTTGCAAACTAGAAATATCTTAGCTGAACATACATGACTATCAGCCTTCCCAGGCAAACAAGACAAGATGAAGTAATTCTATTTTCTTGTCAGAACACATTAACAGAATCTTGCAAGTCTGAACGTACAAAAGTTCTTGCCTCTAATTTTAACTACTTGATCCATTAGGGCAGGGGTCTCCAACCTT